TCCCTTGACATTTATCACAGCTAAGAGACATGAGAAAAGAGCGTTATTGACGTATATAGTAAGCGCATGTGAAGTACCTCGGTGATCCTAAGATTCCTTAAAGTTATAGTTAAAGTTATTCATTTGAAGAATTCTAGCCAGATTGTACTGACACGAATAAACTCGAGTCAGATAATGCATAGTCTACACAACAGCATATTTAACTTACGCGAAAATATGACATATTTAAACATTCTACACATTTTTCAGTATACATTAATTACATACCACTTTTTACTTTGTTTTAATTTTGACTATGTCAACTTTTAAATGAAAAACAAACTACCTACGTTACTCATACGTGTATATGTAATATATACGTTCCACCTTTCTCCATTATTTTATTCTGCATAAATTTTTAATTTAATTTTCACGTCGCTTTACTTTTTAAATTCCGCATAAATTTTATGCGAATATTATATTCTACGAGTTTATTTTTATATATTAAAAAATGGTTGCAATTATTAGAAAAAAAATTTAACAATAATTTATAACTTCACTTTTGGTACCAACTGTATATTTTTTTGATAGAGAAATATAAATATAATTATAATTACTAACATTAACAGCAGTAATAACTTTAAAAATGGAGCTATGCTTAAATTACGTTACTGTAATTATAAACACAAATATTAAAAATTTTCCTCGTATGTTTAATCAGTGGTTTAAAAAAGATTTTAGATTAGAATATACAAAAATATTGTCGCTTGCAATAGTAATTATGTATTATACATTTACTATTTATTGTATAAGCAATAAAACGGATCTCTCGAAAAACATCAGTGATATTAATTGTCACACTAAAATCAAAGGCACTGACGATGAGAAAAGTTATCAGTATTTGACCTATTTTAGTATTATAATTATGATTATTATTGTGTGTAATTATGATTATTAATGTTAGTAATAATTATATTCATAGTTCTATCAAAAAATATATATAGCACTAAAAATGACTACAAAATATAATTATTATTACAATAAATGGTTACACTCATCATAATTAAACTGTAAATTATAATTGTATCATTTTTTAAGCTAACCACATTTTATATGATATTTAATAATAATTATACAATATTTACAGTCATTTTCGAATACTAAATTATATTTTTTTCATAGAATTATAAATTATTACACGAACAAATGAGTGTATTAAAGTATTTAAAAATTTAGGTACATATATACAGATAAAATTAATTTTATTGAATTATCAAAACAATTACGTAGAATATTCAAACTGAATGCTTAGAATATCAAACATTTTTGCAGTATTGCTCATTACATTTATTTCGTAATTATTTTTTACATAATTATTTCGATGGCAAATTATTCTGAGATATATATCTGTAGTTATATTAATTTTTAGATGTTTAAAGCAAAATTGTTTTTCCAAGTACATAACATGTATGATTATTACACTACTATTATAATAATTATTATATCATGTTATAAATATCAAAAATTTTTCTCAGTATGTGTCATGATCATGTCTATTTTAAGCACACTATGTTGACCTATATTTTTTATCCTTTTCTTCTTATCCGTTTTAACCGAGGTATTCGAACTTCTCCTTGAGAACTTTAATCTGTACGTACAAAATACGTAGAAAATGGTCGAGCAGCGAAGCATTGCTAAGAGCCGAGTGAAATATTAGCGCAATGGTCGGTGCTAAAGTGCGACGCTATTTGATTTACGAGCATAGGTGATACCTGTATTTTTCGCGTAGAAAATATTTCTCTTCCCATGGCGACGATGAACTCGGGATCGTTTAACGCGACTTGGACACAAATGCTTTTGTACCGAAGATATGCCCGGGAAATTCATCGAAAATCGGTTCGGTTATCGAAATTGCAATGTCTACATCGAGAACAAGAGTATATATTGCTCACCACGAGCATTCTATTAATTGGATGTTCCTATCAAAGTCCACAGAGCAGAAATTGAATTTCCGTTATACACCAGCGCTGAAAGGGGAATCGAAAAAAAATTACTGGATTATACAATTCTGTAAGAAAACAAACATGTGGTATTCTAAAGAATGTTTGATAATAACAATTCGCTTCTATTTTTGATAATTCATTCCTGAATCTCGTTAAATCTATAAAAATTTTACATCATTACAGACAGTTTTGATGAAGTATCTAAAAATTTAGCTAGATTTAGCTAAAATTATTTTATTGGAATCAGCAAAAAATTATATAGGACGTTCTGCGTAAAAACTGCTTATTAGAATGTTAAACATTTTGCATCATCATTTCTCATGCTTGAATTTCCTACATAATTATTTTGATAGGTCAACAAAATTACTTTAAGATCTATACCTAAATTTTTAGATACTTTAATAAAATTGTTCTTTCTGTCTAGGTCATACAGCTGTTTATTTACTTTGAACGTCATATTTTTTGCATTTTGTTCGATGATAGTTTGCGAAGGCGGTTTATTTTAAGCTATAAAAAATGTTAAAAATCGATTGACGGCATGCTAAATATAAATGACTATATAGATGCTGATTTAAAAGGCTGGATTGTATATTAACATGAAGTTGACATCTATATTAAAATTTAATATAAAGCAATGACAATATTTATAATAAAATAATATTCATATCATTATTCTACTTCTTTGATTATTTCTCATATTCATCTTAATCATTTCATCTTAATCATTAGTTTCATAAGTAACTATAAATATATTATTGCCGTTTTAATTTCGTTTTAATAGTCTTATCGTAAATGCGTATATCTTATAATTCTTATAAACAAAATATAAAAACATGAATATTAATGTTAAATTAAGAATCACATATAAATAATTGAAGTATATTTCTATATCGGAATTAAAATAATCAGAAATAAAAAAATTGCAGAAATATTTCCTCTCATTTCATTTTATATAACCCATTATAATTATACAATTTCTTTAATTACTGAGCGTTATGGTAATTAATGCTGTCATACTGCAGATGTGATCTGCACAGCGCGCACATGGTGGACGCATACGCATCGGGATGTGTGTATGATTTGCTTTTTATCTCGTAACCACACGTTTGCGTGCAGTAATCAGAAGAATGATAATATTTTCATTTAACAATAAAATTTTTTTGCGTAAGTTACTCGTATATTTCTTGTAGGTACTAAGAACACTAGCTAATTAACTTTAAGCAAATACATGACACAAAATGATTTGATATTATGTGTTTAATATTTATATTATCGATGTAAATATTTAGAAGTATATTTAGTAGCTTTGCAGCTTTTTCAGCTTTTTGTTCTAATTTTTCTCAATAAGGAAAAATAAACTATCAGTTTACTTTTGTTCCTACATTTACAATTAATACGCAGCGGAATTAGTGCAAATTTCTTAAATAATAATTCTTTTAAAAAGAAACCAGAAGAAGAATATATTATATTGTTTTTTTTTAATTTATAGACTAGATTTCTTAATAGTAGATATACGTTAAAAAAATTAGAAATAATTTCCAATTTTTTTTAATAACATATATTACAAATGTTTCGCGTTAATTCTGCTAGGAACATGTATGTTTATACTAGCGTTATCATTTTGTAATTATCAAATAATTTAAAGCGATCATGTGCCACGATAATAAATAATTAAGTAACAAATGTGTCTCTCGCTTTACATTATTCTCGAAATTATCAATTCTCGTTCTACGCGACAAATTATATTAATATAAAGTCATCATACTAAAAAATATTCTAAATGTTACTAAATATTTGTCTGAATATCATTAATTTAACATTTTATTTAACATTTTATTTAACATTTACTTACAGTAAATAAATTTTTGCTAAATAAAAAAAAATGATAGTTATGTCGAATAGTTCATGTACCAAATGAAATACATTTAGTAAATATTCAGCTGCTACTATTCGAACAAATATTATATTTATTAAAATTTAGTACATTTTTTTCACAATATAGCGGAGTAACACGCACGTACGTTCAATATCACGTATCGGAATTATAATTATACTTTATATTATTTAAGTGTAATCTGTTATTCATTTAATCTGCGAACAGCAAAAAATTTCCGAAAAAAAAACAAATAGAACATAAAAGAAAATATGATTTTTCCCAGAACACTTTATATCCGTTTCTAGCAATGTAATTTAATTTTAATCTCGGTTTAATTCTTCCTCTTTTTTTTTTGTAATTCTAAGAATTAAAAATGAAGAGTAATCTGAAGAGAAATGATTAACTCCGTTCAAATCCGGTATCTCGTCTCTCTCGTTACCGGTTTTATTAACATTATAGGCTTTCCTGTGATTGAGTACTTGTGTCGAGATAAAGAGGTGCGGTACCAAAGGTATCGCGTGTGTGATAAAGACCTGCTAACGCTATTATATGTACATTGTACACGCAAACGGCTTGAAGGTGGAACTACTGGAGCCAGGGTGGATGAGAGTGGGAGAAGTAGGATCTCGGGGACCTCATGTAACACGTTAAACGCAGCTATCGCGACTGCGAGTAGGATGGGGGCCATGAGAAGTGGACATCTGAGCCCCGTAATATCAATTAATTTGACCCTCCGCACGCGTATGTTATTCAAAATGAACCAATGCCCGCCGATTTCGAGATAACCAATGTATATCGCCGATCTTTGTCACACGATCCCTTGTACAGCTCCACGTATGCTCCGAATAAATACTCCCGACTACTCCGAGAGAAACCGGGAGAGGAAAGAGACTTCCATCGAGCGGAATGACCGAAGGGCCACCGCAGGTCGCACGACACGTAGGGGTGCGTTCAGATTCCCACCTCGAGTGCACTCCCCAGATATTATTTACCTTTATTTAACATATCAATGAACACAAGGATATAAAATGATACTTGGGTGGCACTCAGGTGTGAGGCACAAAAAATGTGGGAATTTGAACGTAACCCAGGTGCGATTCGCTCGTTTTACATTGCTGCGTTGTCAACGTGCATTCTCTCACCTTTCGGTACCGCCTTGTTGTGGTCAGGTAGGACGTGGCGGTCAGCACGCGGCTCATTTCGCACCACCTCACGACGAATATCGCCCGAAACGATACCGCTGCCATTTCGTCGTCGCTGTCAAAGAGCCGGGCGCACCGTCCGACGACGTTCCGACGCGCGGATCACTTGCTGTTCGCTCTTCCCTCGCGCACGAGTCGACTGGGACAACAAACTCCCGCCTGCCACCCGCGAGGCTTGAGCGAACCGACAACCGGCTATGAACGACTACCGCACTCGGCAGTCTCGGCACTACCGTCCGCGGCAGGCAGGGGCAGACGATATCGCGCGCGCGGATCCCGAGACCCCGACCTTGCGGCGGCCGATGACGTGACATGCGCGCCGCGCCATGCTCGATGCGCATTGGTCGAACTGGATCGAACAGCGTTGACGCTGCTGTTAGCGGCACATTTCGAATCACTATTCGGTTGATTCGTTTCTATTTTTTAGGTACGGACCGCGGAGACATCGTCGCCCATGGAAACGCTGTTCTCGGAATCAACGTGCTCCGTTGTCAAGCGCGTACCGTATATGTATACATGCGCGAGCTTCCGACGTTGCAGGGAATGGTCCATGTAAATTGTAAAACACTGCAGTAATGTTTTTTTCTCGTTTTCTAGTCGAAATTCTAAATATTGAATATTGTTTTTGAGAGTTTTCATTTTCTTAAAATAAAAAATTTCCGACTGACGTGACGCGTCGGTTGGAAACTCTATAATTTTCTTTTTTTATTCTAATAAAATGGAAAACTTTCAAAAACAATATCCAATATTTACAGTTTCGGCCAGAAAATAAAAAAATGTTATGCTATATATTATTGTTACAGGTTCTAACATTAATTTCAAAATAAATTTCTTTATACTAGTTTAGATCAGGGTTGGGTAGTAACTCAAAACGTTAACAGTTTAAAAAAACAGTTAAAAAGTTAATAACTTTTAATTTAACTTAGTTAATTTTAAATGCATTAATTTTTAACTTAATTTAATTACTTTTAAACTTTAATTTATTAACTTTTTTTAAATTAAAAATTGTTCTACTTCTCTAATTTACTTTTTTTTACTATAACTTAAACTTTAGAAAATTAATTTAAAAAAAGAGATTTTACGATGAGAGATTCTATAATAAAAGTCACACCATGTGATAGTCAATTTTTATTAATTCGCTAGGTTTTGTCAATTCCCGCTTATATTTGACACTAATTTTAGGTATCATAAATGTTATATTTTAGCAACATAAATATGAAATGAGCCTTAGATAAAAAATTGTTGTACTGCAGAACAGTACTGCATATCCATCCATTTCCTAAATTTTTACGTTTATTTTTGTAACAAATATCTAGTCGTAAATATGCATGAGCAGTCGTTTTAGAAGTTAAAGAAAGTTAGATAAAGCTTAAAGAAAGAGAAATAATGTAAACATATATCCTTCTCTCTTGCAAGATTTTACAAAAACGCCTTATAGTGTGACTCTTATTATATATAAATAATTTACACCGTGAATATAAAATTCAATTTACCTAATAATCTATATTTGTAAGTGTAAGTTAAATTTATCTAATAATCTATATTTGTAAGTGATTACTTTAAAGTAATTTCATTATAAGAAAAATTAGGACATTCTAATCTCAAAAATAATTTTTTTAAAATTAACTTTTTTTAAACTTAAGTTAATTCAATCTTAACTTAACTTTTACTAAGTTAATTCTTTATTCCTTCAACTTTTAACTTAATTTTATTAATTTTATAATTACTTTAATTTTAACTTAATTTAGTTTAAAAAAAATATTAACTTAGTAAAACCCTGGTTTAGATATTATTTTTTTCTTTTTTTCTCTTAAGATACTTCAATAAATACAAATCTATTGTTTTCGCGAGGCATTCTTATTCGATTTTTATTTTAATTGACTTGCATTTTGCAGTTTCAAATCGGTGAATGGAAATATGTTTCTCCGCGACTATTCCACACAAACAAGTATTAAATAATTTTACACTCTTTTCTTAATGATCTGTAATTTAAATTGCTTTCGGGAATACACACCGAGGGTATTAATTTACTTGTTTAACTTTCGGTGAATATCGAGCATTGTATAATGATACTTGAAGACACTCGGTGTATATTTCTGAACGCAGCTTGGTGTCATCTACAGACTTCTATATATATCGTAGGTTGCGTTCCATTCCAAATTTACTGTAGTCAGAGCTGGAAATCTACAATTCACGTCACGTGCACTATAGATTTTCAATACTAGTAATCAATTTTGAAACACAGTCATAGAAAATTATATAAGTGCGTTCGAGGAGACGCCATTACCGCTGGTTTATGTTATTTTATCGTTGTTTTACGTCTAATAAATGATGAAAATAGAATGACACAAATAGTGTCTTCCCGAACGCACCTATTATATACTTCTGTATAAAAGTCTGTAAAATCACTTTAATAATTTTCAATAAAACAGACAATTCAACTGCGCATGCTATTTCATACAGCACAGAAAGATTGCAAAAAAACATTGTAGAATAATTTCACTGAAACATTGCAATATTACATGATGGTTGCTGAATCATTGCTGCAAGATTCCAACAATGTTAAGATATCTGCTTTTTGTTATATAGCAATGAAACGATCCAGCAATATTACAATATAATGTATTTGGATAAATTTTTTATAAAGACTCTAAAATGAAAACTATTTTCTGTACATGTATCTCACTAATTTTAATTTTTTTCGCATTTCTTAGTGATATGTGCTTCCCAAAAGCAATTTTTTTATGATAAAATCATAAAATATTCTAATAAATATTCCAATAAGTATTAATTCTAAAGGATAAATTTATTCATAAGAATAAAGCATATATGTGTGAGTCCCAAATAAACTATAAATATTATCCACATTAACATAATAATATTATACAATTACTTGGTAAGTTAATCATGGATTAAGTTAATCACAGTGATTCTTTTTAATTCGAACCCACTTCGAATCAATTGAAATTGATTAAAAAAATGATGGTATGAATTGATCGATAAAATTCGGGCACTTTTATTCTTGCATTCACATCAGACATAAATATATCATTGATAGCAAAATAATTAATATTTCGATAAATCGTTTACAACAGCTTAATTACTTATTGTTTTGTCCAATAATGATGTGTTAATTGTATTCAAACTCGATATTATATAATCTTTTGATTTTAAATAAATATAAAACTTAGCTAATGAAATGGCCATCAAATAATAGATTAATAAATTTTTTTATTTGAATATAAAAATGAATTATATTACTTATTATATCATAAAAATCACTATTAAACTAAAAGACTGTATTACATGAATATTATAAAAAATTATATTTTTATATTATTATTATAGTAACATAATTAAAGAATTACAGTTTTGCAATGTTTTTGGAATATTACAGGCATGTACATCTGACATCTTGCAGGCGTATTGTTAATTTAAATTTCTATAATATCTCTGCAATATTACAATGCAATCTGCAATATTCTAACATTGTAGCAATATTGCTTCAATCTTCTGTATATGGGTCATTTTCATTCAGGTGCAATTTCAGTCTCCTGTCAATCATTCCAACCCCAATAGAAACGTCACCTCCGCACACAAAATGTATCAAATCTTGAAGCGTATCTCGACTACGACAATGATATGATAACGTGATAACGCATAGAAGGGACACCCAACTTCAAGAGGAGACAGAATGTCGTCCGTTACTAAAGATTATTTTTACGCCGAGAACTATTACGATTATGCCGTTCAGCCTCACACATTCGGCAACTATACTGCTGTCTCTACCACACATCTCCATTGGAATTCGTTGATTCGTCTCATCCTGACAATTTTGCTGCGCATCGGCTTTGTTTTCGTCCAGATCGGCAGTGTGCCGATTAACAACGTTAATTTGATACTCCTTCAAAATGCAGTTGATCTGTGTTGCGTTACCGTTATGTACTTCCTAACGGGCTTCCTCGTTGCCTACAACGGCGACATCATTGGTCTGATCGGCGCGGGTCATTGGATCGGTGATCCAACGATTGACAAGAACGAAGCGATCGTTGGATGGCAGGCAGTGGCAATCGCATCGGCGATTTGCACCACCGCCGTCGCAGGCCGGATGCACATAGCAGGATACCTGCTGGTGAGCATCCTCTTGTCAGGCCTAATCCAACCGTTGCTCATCCATTGGGCATGGATGGGGTGGATGGCGGAGAACGAATTGGGTGAAACGACGGTGATCTTCAAGGATCAAGCTGGTGCAGCAGTGATTCACATCATCGGAGGACTCTCAGGCCTGATCGGATGCATCGTTCTTGGCAGAAGAATGTTCAGATTGAAAGACTTGGATGATGCGAATATCATCCCTGACTCTGCCCGGAATGTTTTCGGAGGTCTACTGTTAATCTTCGCTGGGCTTCAAGTAAATATCTTGTTGAACGCGACCGTTAAATTAGAATAGAATTAATAGAATAAAAAATACTTAATTTTTTATAATCTAAAATTATAGTTGTCAAGCTCGACAGAAAAAATTTAAGTTTCTTTAGCACATTACAAAAATTGCATCTAGAAAAGATTTCTGGGTATTCATCAAATATGGTATTATTCTTTGATGTACTATAAAATAGAATCAATATAGAAATAATATTTATTATTAAAAGAAATATTTTATTCTTAAGGCCATTGTCCACAATGCTAAAAATCGATTCGAGATGAAGAAAGAATTAACCAATCATTCATCATCGCTCATGTGATTCAAATTGTTCAAATGTGATTTGTTAATTCTTTCTCTGTCCGAGATTTTATTGTTGAGATCGATTTCTAGCGTGGACGTTGGGTTTAAAACAGAAAATTCTTAAATCTAAAACAAAATAATCATGGATATCAGTTTCGTGCCAAATACTGGCGCCAGCATTATGCATAACATTAAATAAAGATTTATCTTAAACGTAAGAATATATAACGAGTCCAAAAAGCGGATTTTGTGACCATGGAATTTCGAACTGTATGCCAAATGATTTGCTATTTGATTCAATATTGTTTAAATATTAACACAAAAAGAAAGTTCATACTTCCTTAATATATAATAGTAAAATTTTGATTAGAATTAGTCAGAATAGTTTTCTAACCCGTCCACATCTATTGATTAATTTTTTTAAAGGGGTAAAACTATTCCCAAAGAAATTTTTTCTGAATTTTTTTAAAACGGATGGTACGAAAAAAAATGTTTAAGAGTTGTTTGTCTTAAAATTTTGCACAAAAAGGTTTCCTAAACATATTTCTTCTTATCTACCGTATATAATACTACAAAAATATAAATAAGCTAAAAATGTGTGTTTTTGGAGTCATTCTTTGACTTTATATTGTTACTTTCGTTTAAAGACATTAAAATTAAATAAATCAACTTTATTTAATTCGAGGAAGAAAAATAGGAATTATCGATTTAGGGACTTATTCTATAACTCTTAACGATTGTAACTGTAGCGATGTCGTTGCGCAGGTTTTTTTGTACATAATAAAAAAATTACGCAACACTATAACGCTTTAATTACAATCGTTAAGAGTTACAGAATAGTTTAATTTTGTTGGACTATAAAAATAATTATGTAGAACGTTTGAGCATGATAAGTAATGCAAAAGTTTCAACATTCTAGCAATCAGTTTGACACAATTATTTTGACGATCCAAAATTAATTTGACATCTATACGTAACTAAATTTGTAAATACAAAACCGTTCTTTTCCCATGCAAAAAAAAGAATTGCTAACTGCTAGTGTACAACATTTCGTACATTTGCAGGGTTTGTACACGAGCTCGCATGAGCATGACAAGTACCGAATGTTCACACGAGACTCATCACACGCATACGTCAACAATTTGCTAGCCGCGTCCTCGTGCACATTGATAATCGTAGCTCTACACTTCGTCCTCGACCGTGATATTTATCATCATTGGACGTTAATGAGGTGCATTCAAGGAACGATCGCCGGCGTGGTAATAGTGTCGGCTGCACCAAACGATTATTCACCGCAAGTAGCTATCATATTGGGCTCCCTGGGAGGTATCGTGTTCCATTTCGTCTCCACATGGATTTTTCACAGCACCCTGGAGGATTATTGCAACGTCGTAGCCGTACATCTCATTTGCGCGATCCTTGGGAGTATCCTTGCTCCCTTCTGCGCGATGCGTACAGACGAGGATACCGTGACGATATTATTGAATTTCTCTTGGCAATTAATCTCTTTGGCTGCATTGCTGGCTCTAGTTGGCACAGCAATGTTGCTGATCTTCGGTATGCTGGAATGCTGCGGAATACTTCGTAATAGATCGGAATGTTTGAATCATGCACAGGGCAACACTACTGTCGATAGAGCTCCGTCAAGATCGTTTCTGCAAAGGCTTTTCTGTCCTAATAGTGGTTGCCTTTACCTGGACTCAACTTCTAACACGGGACATGATCCGTGCATTGGTTTCAGATTTTTGAAATATCAAGAAAAGATAAATGAACTTGAAGAAGAAAGGCCTACCGTCACGAACCAACAGGACGTGAACATCAAAATTGAAGCTGACGTTACAAAAATTCCAATGCTGGGTCGGTATTTATTTAATATTTATGAAATCCAAAATATGTACTTACATTTTTCTTCGCTATCTTAATTCAGTATACATTTATTACTAAAAAATATTTATATGTATATTTTCGCGTTTTGTATTTTTTCGATTACTATTTTTACTTTCTCAATAAACGTTTCATTATTCCAATAATTGGTAAATAAAATATACATAATTAAATAATATTATAATTAAAAGTAGAGTTTATAACTATTATATGGTAAGGTATTAGCTTTGAAATATGTAAAGAATAAATCATTTTCAATCTTCTCGGTAACAGCAATAATGTATTTAGTAGGAGCAAGAGTAAAGAAAGTGAGACAAGTGCATACTTTATCTGGGAGTACTCCGGCGTTAATAGAAAATGGAGGTGGTACTGGTGAATCGATTGGCAAGGATCTTTCAGAAATTGGAGGGAAAAGATTTCTTGGAAAGGAGATAAAGTGTACTTTAGATCCTATTGAAGAAATAAATGAAGAGATTTTGAAAGAATTTGAAATCGAGAAAAATAGCGTGCAATTCAGTATCGAAGATTGTAATGCTGGGGACAAAAATCCAATCTCGGAATATTTTAACGTGTCTGAAGATCGAAAGGACTTGAACGAATCGAATTATCAGCTTCGAAGGACCATAAAATTTATGAATTTACATCATGAATTTGTCAAAGAAGATTTAAAAGTTGTGTTGGGACCAAATCGCTTGGATTCTTCATCTAGCGATTCATGCGACGATGACACTATCTTTACAAAAACATCAGACTTGAACGAGTCCATAAAAGATATTGCAATAAACAAGGACTCATTGACTTACAGCGCAAATGTATTATAAGTAACTCTATCAACCATAACAAGAGATTCAATTTAAATGCGTAGAAGATATTGATATGTCGAAACAGCGAAGTTATCAAAGAAGCTCATCAATTTCTTGGAACTGCAACGATTAAAGATATTACATAATTTTGAAAATGAAAAAGCTAGACATATTGTTTTAAATTATTTTAATATAATCATTTTAAAATTGTTTCAGTTCTAAGATGTTGATGCATATAAAATAGGTAACAAGTATATCTGAAAAGAACAAAGAGAATTAAATGAATCGTATAAAAGAATTGTAAATAAAACGTGTGAAATTAAAATTAAGAAAGATATTCAAAATATGCGTACTAGAAAAAATGTATTATATATTGCATAGTATCATTTCAATATGTTGTCATTTACAAAACAATCCAGTGTAGGATTTTTGGTGCTTCTTTTATTAGAACTTACAGACTATTCGTACAATTATTACAATATTTTACATTAGAATAGTCATAAGTTAAATAATTGAAGTGTCATACACACATCCTCTACGCGCAGTGTCGTTTATTCGCACAACAATGGCATTTTCTTTTCCTGGGCAGTTTATATTGAAACAGAATATTTACAAAGTGCTCGCCATTTCTGTGCGTTTTTATACGCAAACAAATGCACTCACGAAATTTTGTAGTAATTAACAGAGAATACACTACCACTGATGACAACAACTAATATGTACAAAATGAGACGAGAAAATAATTTTTAATTCATAAAACTAAACACTCAGACGTTAATATATGTAATTGTATTGCTTTTTATTTTAATCATATTTTTAAAATTTTGTGGAAAATATATAATTATAGAAAAATATAAAAAAAAAATGAAAAGATAAAAATAAATAGAAAATGAAGATCAGTGATAAAGTAATGTTAATGCTAATTCTGTTTACATGTGCGACGATAATCATGTTCTGATAAATTTCACGGAATTTATTACTTATCTCTGTCTGCCATCAGGTTATTGTCAGGTAGTAGCAATCCGGACATTTGTTGCTACCGCCATACTGAACCAAATTAAGGATATTCTCTAAAAATCTGATTGATACATTATAATCATAATCATATATACAACATTGGTAAAATGGCACGATTCGACGAAACAGATCAGTTGATATTACCGTTATCATTAGTAACTACTATTACAAGACTAACAATAAACTTTGTACATGATTTGTTAAACGTTACAATGGCATAGTTTTAACGGCAGTATAAAAATGAAAACAAGTCGTACAAACATAACAAAAGGTTCTGTCTAAATATAACATTGTTTCATATGTAACACTCAATGTAATGGCATCATCAGAAACATTCACAATACGAGACAATTAATATAGTAATGAAATAAATAAAAAAAATTCTCTCCTGATCTTATATTGCTCGTTTTGGATTTTTTTCCAACGGGCCATATATATGATATTCACACTTTTCTATAGAAAAAGTGCGGCAAGCAGATATTATATGCAGATATTATATGCAGATATCTGCCATAAGATTCTGAAATCTCATGAATTCATTACAATGTACAATTAGATATGGTCACAGATACAATCAATATTATTAAAAATATTTGTACATGTAGTTCACATTATTGGAGATGATATTATATATACGTATAAGTGACAAATAAATATAAAAAATATATGTATACAATAATTAAATCTTTTTGTTTTCTTGACCAACAAAATCTTCTTAGGTCGATTCGATGTATATTTTTTTAAAGTAAAATAAATACTGAATGATACTAATATCATTTCCAAACACGTAGTTACACAAAAAAAATATAAAGATTTTGTATATATTGAATTTGAAAAGTATGCTAAAAAACAATTTCGAAAAATCACTGTGTAATTATTTGGACTTACCCGCTGAAAAATAAAATTCTATTTCTACTTTTTACAACAATGATCAAATCCACAATGTATCACTGTACGCAATTTGCGATAATCGTGACAAATCTTAAATATTTTCATACAATTTATCAGCGGGTAATTTACATAGTGCGCCAAAGAATTGTTTATTGATCTAATAAACGTACGAGTTTCAATTCTTTGATAGTGTTGATTATTGCAAATGGATGTATGTTCGTCAACGCATCTGAGATTGGAACTTCCAAACATCTCATCTTAGATGTACCTGAATTGCCAGTTTCAAGTTTTCACCCTATTTTTTTTATATACTATAATACACCTATATTAACATCAAAATAATGCGTTACATCAATGTACAAACGGACGCGATCACACATCTTTTGTTGGCCTTTCTACCGTGGATACCAAGAATAGTATTGTCAAAATATACATAGATTTCTCATCGTTATCGATCTTAAATATAACGAGAATTAATATACACTGTATCTCCGAAAGTGGTGGGCTTAAGAGAAAAGCTCTCAAACTCCCGAAATCTCACGCTCGCATGGACGATCCGATGATTAGTGCAAGAAGAACGATGAACTGTCTGGCTCAAAAATCTGACAATACAATTCATCGATCCTTACACGTGAAGAATATACATTTCTCAAAACAATATGATTTGGACAGTCTGATATTAAGAAAAGTGAACTTTAACTTTTTAAAATATTGCATTTTGCCAAAAAGATATTCTTCAATATCATTCGTTACAACACTCGTATCGCGTTGATAGCAAAAATTCATTTATGTTCATTAGATATTTTATAAATTTCTATGGACATTCTTCTTGATATATATGAAATCTTTTCTTATGTCATAAAATTTATAAAAACAGGTCTGCATTTTTTGTAAAGATATATCTTTCTTTTACATAATTTTCAATTCATATGTATTGATTGACTTTTTGCTCAACTTATGTATGGGGAAATAGAAAGTGCCTAATTATTGCTGGACAATGGCACTAGTGAGTGATTAATATCCTTGATTTCTACGACGCGGTAACGATGATAATGATAATAGTAATACATTAATAATTAATATAATAATAATAAAATAAAGAGGATAATAATAATAAAACTAGTATTATTAGCTTAACAATGATCGACAATTATAACTGGGACTTCGTAAAATCGTTTATATGACTAGCTTTTGTAAGGTCTTCAATTATATTAGGCCAGTCCACTGAGATAGGCCAGCATGGTCCTTCCTTTAAAGATGTGAAATCCAGTGGAGTTTTGAATATACAATTATTTTACAAGTCTTCCATTAGCAAGCGACGTATCTCGCTGACAGCGGAAGCGAGTAGCCGGGAAACATTAAAGTTTCATATGATTGGCGTTTGCTAGGTCATCACAGTATCGGTAAGGTCCTCCTTCAGCCATTGCGGAATCGTTCTGGACCCAAGCCGCTTTAATAATTTCACTAGAGCCGTGTTGTGGGACAAATAATATCTCTGTAAAAAACAAAATATGTTTGCAAATTGATACGATTGTTTTATATGCCGAAAAAGAAAATTTACTACAAGAACTTTACCTGTAATAATTTGTACGATCTGTCTTCCATCGGTGGATACTGGCGACCTTTACTTTTACCAAGACATTTAGTGCGATCTTCGTTAGTTACTTGACAGAAAAAACCCTTTTTCGGATCGTACCTCAAATGTGAAGAATAATTGAAGGCAGGCGTTATTTTTAGAAATCGTTGCAATTCATGCAGCGTTTCCACAGGGTTTTGTCGTAACTGCTCGCCATCGATAATGTGTAATTGTTGCGGTAAATAAAACGATAACCATCTTTCTAAATGTTGGGCGTACTTTCCAGGATTTAAACACCTGTAATTGAATGCAGTATCGTCTTGAAACTTATTTGACTTACTTGACAATTTACTTACTTGACAATTAAAATACATGATATATTTTGTTAATTAAACCATAAAATTATAGAAAGATATAAATTTTTTTTAACATTCATTATTTTAGCGATCATTAACTTTTACTGATTACTGTTACCAATTATGTCTATTAATACATTGTTAAGTGAACGTCTTACGTAATCGTTCATGTTCAATTATGTTACCTATTTCTAAGATCCCGTAAGGATTTCGGAGCAGAATCACTCGCTGTGATGACCGCATGGAAGGAGTAATTGTTCGCTACCGGATCTCCATGTACTCTAGTATGCTGATACCATGAATAAGCACGTCTAGCTGGAGAGAGCAATATGGTGATTAGCTTAGCTCTTGGTAAAAGTGCATGGGCTCTTCGCGGTACTAATTCTCCATCAAAATAAGTAGCAGATTTTTCAAAGAGATATCGAGAACTCTCGTTTTTTGATGCTGGAAAGAAGCTCATGTACCTGTAAAAGCAATGTAAGTCATGTACTTCTGCTTTATGCAGGATGTTCCATTTTAATTTATTTCTTATTTTTCTTTTAAATGAAAGCGCCAAAAAGAATAAAGATATGAAGGTCATCATCACGTTTTAAAATGGAATTAAATAATTTTTTTTATATCTATTATATGATTCATGCTATAACATTCCTCTAATTATTCTGCACATAAAAGTATTAAGGTAGAGCTATCAAAACACTAATATATAGTTCACAAGATATTTTATATTTTATTCTGGCACATATTAACATGAAATATTAAATATTTCGTAAACTATTAATTTTTTAAATAATCGTATCTTGATATTTTTATAAAGAGAATAATAAGATGAATCAATTGGTATAAAGAAAAGTTACTTTAAAAAATATACGTAGGCAAAATGGATAATTAAAAAAAAAATAAGCAACTATAAATTTTAAATAAGCAATATGTATTTTCTTTACACCAATTGATTTATCTCATTATACTGTATATATAAAAAAATCATATAATTTCATTTAAAAAATGAAGATGTTCTTTATATCTTTTTGATGCTGCCATCTAAAAGAAAAATACGTGATTAAAAAAATACGTCCTCTTCAAAACCATTACACTTTTGTCTAAAACATTATTTTCTAAAATTACAAATAAAAAAGTTTTTAAGTGCAAGGTAAATTAAAATACGACACCTTGTATATTACAGCAATAAATGCAGAATTAATGTTCCTGATTCTGATTACTTACCAATCAAGACCTTTATAATAATTCTTTCCATTAAAAAACTGTATCTCTTCAAAAGTATCGGGGCTTGGTAAATTGCTGCTTATTGCTGGATGAATGGACAGGAATGTGTACAATGCTGTAGTACCAGTCTTTTGAGGTCCGATTACTAGAAATCGTGGTAGCTGATCGCAAGTTTTATTACGGGACCAAATCTTCTGATGTCTCTGATCATCGCATGGATTCTATAAATAGAAGATATTAAAATAGAATTAGCTTAATAATGTTATAGAAGCATTGTCAAAGTTATTGAATATTCGTTCCACTCACTCCCCACACTGGATCGGCTTCCTCGGGATATAATTGAAAATAACGTTCTCCAAGCTGAAGTGGTGGTGCACTAGACAGTCTCAAATTTGTCCAACACTGAATGAATTTTATAACTGATTCGAAAGTGTACAATGCCAGCCGATCGTTTCCATAATTCGACATATGCGTCATAAAAATATTTATCTGGAAAAAGTAATACACAATTTAAATTATTTTATCGTTATAGTCTGCATGTATTGTTATAGTGAAATATAAAATATATTTTATATCTATGTTTTAATCAGTATCATATTAAAAATCTAAAATTTATGAAAATATATCAGAAATAATTAATAACGAAGATTATAAAATTGTTACAGATAAACAACTATTAAAAGCGAATTGCCTATAATATGAAAGATCAAACGAGTCCGACAAAGATTGATTTCATAACGGATGATTTACTCACCGGATTATATACGATCGTTTGGAAAAGTTCTCCGCCCTGTATCGACTCATCCAGCTTTTCCCTTCCACCTGGATACCTCTCGATAAAAATTGTGTGAGTAAAAAGACCACACGTTTGCCTCGGTAAAACCTTGAAATACATAAAAAAGGCTTTCATTCGGCAATATGTATCATCGAATAATTTGTATATTTACAGAAGATTAAATAAAATATAAAATTAAAAAAATATACAAAGTATTTATTTTGACAATAAAAACTTAATTATGCAAGATTTGAGTTATATATCGCATCCAATAAAATAATACAATCCCTTATACCTCATTTCACCATTGATAAAATAAATACTAAATTAATTATTAACGAAATTTTACGATTGATTACGTGTTTAATATTCATGTAAATTAGCGAGCAATAAAAGCCTGATTTTCGTATTTCGAAAACTACAGTATAATCGGTATTCAGCTAAAATGCACGGTCGATATGTTATTTCAATAAACATTTGTATGCAACTCGTACATCATATTCATTATTCAGAATGCTCGCTTTAAAAAAAATTCAACAACTGTGGTCGAATTCACACACGAATTTGTGTGACTTCCAGATTCGTACCATTATATTACGGTGAATAAAACCGCGTCTCAAACGAGCTGGTCTTAGATGCGGATATTCTTCGGTACTTGTGACCTTGATGTTCCATACTCGCTTCCATGCTTCATAGAGGCCTTCGTGGACCGGATAAACGCCGGAGTGATGTGGACTTACGCTGTATCCGCTTCCGGTCGGTATACCGTGATCCTTTGCGAATTGTTTGTTCAGTGCCATATCCAATTGTAGATGAGTTACATTCTCGTAAAGATGCGGTTGTTGGTGATTCCACATGTGGGAAAACCACGTAAATCTAAAAAAAATCATAAATTTTTGATATTACAACAAGTATATTTTCATTGAATACATCGATGATCACATAAGAAAACATCTTTTCAAAACACATGGAAATTTGGATTTTCCTTTGTATTTTTTTAGCTTGATAATCACAATCAACTGCGATCATAGTAAGTGAAGCATAGTAACATTGTAACGTTTTGTCGCAGGCGATTATGGCAACATTATAACAAGCTGTTGCGTGATATTATACGATAAAACATACTACGATGTTGACGTGACCGTAAATTTAGTTTATATTATGCACTCTATATGTGTGCGTTATAATAATAAATTACATAATTGTTGTAGTCATCACCATAATTCTAATTAATTAGATTACCTTTAAAGCCTACAAATATTTCGATTTATGAGACAATAAACATTATATTCTATTGATCAATATATATATTTAATAATATATATATACTTTAGATATATGTATATCTCTGCTTCTAACGTAATGTAATATTCACCGAATTTATCACTTTCATGCGATTAATTTTCAGATTTACTGTACCTGTCTACGTTCTCCAAAAGCATGTCGTCCCCCAAATTCTCCTCCGCTGTCCCGTGATGAAAATATTTCCCGGAAAACCCCAAATTAAATTTGAACCCCGGCACCAGAGCTTGAATTCTCTGCTGAGTAGCTAACAATGCCATTACGTCATCTTTTCTCAGTCTGGTGCCTTTCTCGCCGACAAATATATCGTCAACGTCCACCAGGATCATACGATTTAAACTGAGACTCAATTGTCCGTGCGACAAGTAGGATAACGAGTCCAACAGTAGCAATTTATGCAGCCAAAATCGTAGGCCACCGCCGAAGAGAACTCTCTGAATTCCATCATATCTGCCATGATCCTGAAAATAAATATATTTTATAAACTAAAGCTTCTTTTTTTATCTGAAATAACATATATTTAAATCTAAAATAATATATAATAATTCAATAAATCTATTTTTACCGCATTGTGCGTATGAACAATTTGTGACTCAGAATTGTGTGCTTCGTGCTACATCGTAAATAATTATAATCACGTGTATGGAGATGGGTATTTTCCACAATATAATTGGTGTCCAATAACACAATTACTTATTCAGTTCAATTTCTTCTATTCATGATCGGAACTGTTATTGATCTTAGTTTTAGTTTCGACATGTACTGGTTTCGGAATACTTCCGTATACACAAACGTACACAGTCAGTCGATCTAATCATCGCGCGTTAACGAGCATCGTTATTTTTCTCTCAATGCAGTACGGCAGAGTACGGCGAGTAATCGGCCATGTCTGACGTGTTAATTGCATTGTTCGACGGAAACTCTCCAGTAACTCCGTAGCTTCGGCCATAAACCGGGTTTGTTAGCAGTAAACAACAATAATAATCTCATGGATAATCCCGTATGAGAGAGTGGGTGGGTGCCGAGATAGATACGCGGATCATACAGGTAGCTAGGTGATTAAATCAGGAGCCAATCAGCTGTAGGCTCATTCGATTAATGAGCGACTGTGCGACTCGCTTCATTTGCTACTATTGGAACCACCAATTTATTTCGTTTCGGGGGTTGGTCCTATCCTGCCGTTGAATAGATCAAACATTTCTGTTGACACTACAGAGAGCAAAGGACTGTCAAAATATTTTTTTAATCATCGCGAATGTGATATGTTTTGAGTATAACGAGTCGTAGGAATCATCGCAAAACATCGAAGTGTTTTTTTTTTAGCTTATCTATTTATAGACGAAATTCATTAATTAAAGAAATAATTCGGTCTCGTTTTTATGTTGTCATAAATGTTTTCATTTTTGTCAATATAATCATTTTTTATTTCAATACATTTTCTAGAACAATAAATTAATTTAATACCATTAAAAAAATATTTTAAATTTTTGTTCAAAATAGGGGTTAGACTGGTATAAAATTGTAAAAAAATCGAAAAAATTTTTTTTCTTTAAAAAGTAATTTGAAACCTGTAGAATATGGAACAAAAAGTCTTAAGTATAAATTCGAGTTAGTTTCTGACTTAGAAAGCCTACAAAATTTGCAGTATATAATATAAAGATTATGTTGTAGAACTTTAAATACGTTTTTCTTGAAATCTTCTTTCAAAACGACCTTCTATCGAAGGTTTCTCAAGATGTACTCATCGGATTGACTTGAATTTTTTATTATCCTTATAGTATTCTCTAAGTACTGACCGAGGATTTTTACAATATCATTATTATTCTGCAAGATACTAATAAATTAATTAACAGTATTTGTGCTAAAAGTCAAACCAAAAGTTAAAAAAATTTTTTTCAATCAAATTTTAATAAATTTTGAATAAGCTCAGTCAATGCTTAGGGAATACAATATACTTCAGTAATTTTTTTTGTTTTTGTGTCATACGATTCAATATGGCAGAATCATCGACTGATGCGAAACAAATTGATCTTTTATAACATTTTAATAAATGGTGTTAAGATTATTATTATTATATATATTTTCCCTTTCATTTTACATATTTTATACCTTCAATGTGTACTTAAATAAGATACCAAAACCCAAGTCTGCAGTTTTTTTTATTTCTTCGGCAATTCACACTTAAAAATTATTTATTTTCACGGCCGGTCTAATTCCTGCGCGCGCGCGCGCGTACTGCATAGATTGCTTCATCACTGGTAAATTTTTTTCTAAATAAACCAAAATTTGATAATAAAAATAAAAAGTTATCACTACTGCAGAGTACAAACTAAATCGAGGCTGTAGAGTGGGAGTTGGGATAGTGGAGTTTGATGATTATTGGTATTACGAGAGCAGATTAAGCGCAACGTGTCCTGAAAAGAACTTGGTAGCGATGATTGGTCGCTAGATTGGCCTTGGATGCTGTTGATTATGTGGGCTTGGATGCTGATGGTTATGTCACCTTCTTGTCCTCGTCGGATGTAGCAATGGACGGAGTGAGGCTGGTTCTGATGGATGATACTGCGTACCTCTATGAACGCGCCAATCAGATCCCGTCTGAATACCGCGGGTACAAAAGTTCGCGAGGACTTCGGAAGTGTCAGGAGAACTGGTGCCTCAATCGCGTACGTTGGCGATACGGGTCAGTACAGCCTCAGTTTGCCTGGAGTCAGCAAGAGTTGTGATGATCGTGTCCACCTAGGAGAAGATAGCAGGATGCGATGTAGTTTCCATTGCAGATCTTTTAGTGCTGCTCTTCCGGGTGTTGGTCGTGAAATCGCGACTACCTCGCCGGATACTCCGATAGGTCGGAGGCCTGCAGGCGATGATGCGCCGGGTACCTGATCCCGAGAGGATCTGATCCTCAGGCGTTTCTTAGCCGGTTCTACCGGTTGCGAATAACTGGAGCCTGCTGGCTTAAGAGAGTTTATTGTTGCTGCTGGTGATTGGTCGTTGGATGATGGCAACAATTCCTCTGGCTTTTGATTGCACGGTGTCCGAGTTATAGGAGAACGTGCTGGCCGAAGAGAGGATCATGTTAGATAATACTCGAGAGCCTTGGATATACTTGCTCGAATCTGGAGACACGGTAGTGGTTCAGCGCTAAGCCAAGCGCAGCGAAACTACCGTGGTTACCTTTACGCGAGACGAATTGTAGAGACTAAGATTATTATATCTCAATAAGGACAGAACCGATCACGTTCTATGTACGCTTAATCAATAGCATACACTCTGGTTGTATAATACGTGTTTTTATTTTTTCTCTACGTGCCCTACGAGCGGAGATATTGCGACGCAAAATACGAATCTGAAATTTTTAATGTAATGAGAAACGTCGTCGTCGCTACGGAGTAGGGAAAATGTCCTTTTGGTAATTATTCAGTTTAGCTACCGCACTTCGAAATTCAATAAAATTAGGCTTCGACGCGTTTTTGCATGAAACGAAAGAATCTGGCAAAAAAAGTGTCACCTGCCCTGTGAACTGAGATATAAAACGTTAAAATTGACGATTATTGAAGTTAGGAAATCTGTCACTGTTGCGAAATACTGCGATTCAAAGTCGTTTTCCACCCATTTTTTGGTGAACTCAACCCATTTTTAAGCAAAGTTCTACATAAGTTTATAATCTTCCACGCGAAATGAGGGCCATCTCGCAAAAAATGAGTTGGGTTAGAGTTAGGTTTTTTTAATGCGAAACGACATGGACTTACGACCTTCCGACACGAAATGAGAGCCACGGCGTAGAACCGCCCCGAACCAATAAGCACTAGTCTATACACCCCACTGTCTATATGACAGATTTTCTAACTTCAATAACTACAATTATAGTTGTGCGCCCCTTTGTAAGGGGGGAGGGAGGAGGGTAAGAGTCGGGAGTGAGAATTGCTTCGCGTGGAACGTCGAAACTCATGTGGATTATGTGGAATAGTACAATTATATACATACCTCTATTTTGTCTATGTGACAGATTTCTTAACTTCAATAATCGTCAACTTTAATGCTTAATATCTCGGTTCGCGAGGCAGAGCGACACTTTTTTTTGTTTTATACAAAAACGCGTCTAATTTCATTGATTATTTAAATTAGAAAATCCATCACATCGATGGCATAGAGGGCACGTAAGTGAAGCTAAAATAAGTATTTTTTGCTTCAATTACACAAATTTTCGACTGTAAAACACATTTTCTGCTTAAAGAATACAAATTATTTTCTATATAATTTTTATTTTTACAGCAGAGAATTTGTTTTGGTTAGGTATATATTTGTTTACTTTAAAAACACAAATTATCTTCTTTAAAAACAAATTTTCTGCTTTAAAAACACATTTTCTATTGTTTAAAAACAAAAATTATATAGAAAATAATTTGTGTTTTCAATATATAATTTAAATATATTATAATTAGTTCAAAACTATGATTGCACTTTTGGACTTGTAATTAAATTAATCTGAGATGCTAATAATTCCCCGAAATTAAATTAAAACTTGTAAAGAACTTATTGCAAAAAGTATTACTTATTGTTAGGTCGAGAATCGAATTCGGATTTCACGTATACCAATGCTAGCATCTTCAGAGACTAGTGTTCTCACAGATATTATAGTGGACATTTCTGTTGTCTTAAATTACAAGCAATGAAAAGAAAGGAGAAAAAAGATGGCTGATTATTTATTTTCTGCTTAATCCGTAATTGATCGCACTGATATTAATAATGAGACATTTTGTGCTGTGGATTTGTGCATCGACAACCTTTTGAGACCTGCAATTATTTATGTCGCTAATGCTACGAAGAACAGAAAAAAGATCTGTATATTATTTTATTTTTACAAGACTTTAGAATATCGGTTATATCATAGTAATAATTTAACAATGGCTACGTTCAGCAAAAAAAAAACAAATCTGCAACCGTTGCAAGATTCTTAATATAACTGGCTCTTACCCTTCTTTCTTGGATTTGAATGTATAACCCAATGATAATGAAGAATTTTACATCAGTTGCACAGCTCCTTTTTCTGCTGAACGCAACCACTATAACTGATATTCAGAAGTCTTGTGAATGTATGTCTCCCCTGTCCATCCTCTCGAATATATAATAGAATTGATTGATCGGATGTTATTCTTTCTAAGTCGATTGACGTTTATAAGTTTTCGCAGAAGTCCCTTATCGAGCAATATCGGGTCGTCCTCTTTATATACTTGCTTCGCGGGATCTTAAACCAATGATGCGAATTCCGGACCACTTGCAGCACAGTTACTAGCATGAAGAGGGCATAAGAAGATACATACACTACAATGAGTCCATATCCGTGTATACTTGCGCATGCATGCTGTCTATGCTCTCTTCATGCTAATAACCGAGCTGCAAGCGATCCAAAATTCACATCACTATCTTGAACGCGAGTTCGCGCTCGAGCTCGTCGCCCTCTGGTGGCGCGGCGTGAAGCTCCGTGCGCGGCTTGTCTGCTCGACTGCCATATGGGGGATTGAATTTAAGAATAAAAATAAAGAATATAAATATAAACAAATTAATTTATTAAAAAGTGTATAGAAATCAAAGATTAAATATGGACGATTTTATTAAAAAGAGAGAAAAACGAGAAAAAGAGAGTGAGAGAAATCATCTAAATGCAAAATAAGAATTCAAGAATAGGTCTGTTATCTGTAACTGAAGATTGTACGAGTTTGAAACTTAAAGTGAAATAGATATGTTTGATATTTGATGAAAGCAAAAAAGAAAGTTCTAATCAGAGCAGGAATAAAAAACAAACCTAACGTGTAAATATAAAAAAGAGATATACTTTTTCATTTATTTTTAAGTCAGTCGTATCGACATACAAATAAACTAGCTGCACTGTCAATTGGTATCACAGGGACAGGAAAAGTTAAACAAAAAGCCCCACACATATCTCATAAGCTCTCACTGGTACAGAGACAAAACGGTTCAGTGTGAGATATGCATTCCGGGTGGATGGAAAAACGTCGCGTGCCGGAATGGAACGAGCAAAACATCGACAATATAGCATGTGTATCAGCGTGTATTCACGCTCTTCGTTACGTCAGACGAATATCTCGTCGCGTATGCTTGTCCGATGAACGCCATTTCCTTCATATCATCTACACTTCATATCGGCGCCTCCTTCAGGCGTTTGCGCATCCTCGCGTTTTTCGCGAGTACCAACGTTTGTCCATTCTTTTTCTGTCTCTCTTATCCACGTCCGTTACGTCCGGAATCTTGCAGTTGCGAATTCCTGCACGAATGTAAACGCCGGCCAGGACGGCTTTACGAATTGTTTCAGTTTACCTCTACCAACTGCAGATCCTTTCTACGTTTCCTCTCTTTTCTCTCTCTCTTTCTCTCTCTTCCTCTTTCTTTCCCTCTTTTCCCTTCCTCTCGTTTCCGTGTACGTGACCACCAGCCGTATCGCGGAAATTCCACATTTGTTTTCGTTTTCCGGCGCTGTCCTTGGCAGAGCAGAAAGAATCGCCACGATGAGAGAAACGGCAGAAGGGAAAAATGTAGGGAAGTGAATGAGAAAGTTACATACACATTCGCGATTTCTATTAATATAAGACAGCAAAAAGAGCATGCATTCATGCATTCTTGATGAAATTATATAAATTCCCATATTTATGAAAAAAAAAAAAAAATAACAAGAAACATCTTGAATAAAATAATATTTACATGTATATAATATAAATAAAATAAAGACTAAAATTCTGTTACATTTTTCTGTATTTTTAATTCTTCAAATATTTTTTTTTTTCCAAGGATAGATGTAAAATCAGTCAAAGCGAGCCAACACAAGTTAGGCGTGTGTGAAATCATATACTTCATTCTTGATAAAAATTGACAAACATTTTCAACCCTTTTAATTCGGTCTTCCTCAGTGTAAAAATAAAAATAAAATCGTATAAATTTGTATAAATTTAATATAAAAGATACGATGCGAAGCAAGTTTAAGTTAACATATATTCTTTTTTTTTTGTTACAGAAAGATTTACATTATATCAATCAGAAGAACAAATCGTAAAGAAAAAGAAAGAAAGATATCTGAAAAAAATCTCTTCTTACCGAATTGCGCATTTTAAAAAATACAAGTGTAAATGGTACGCATTTAACAGCATTCGGTGTTAAAATAATTTTCACCATGTTGGTATTTATATAAAGTGAGAAAGTACCGCTTGAATGCAGACCTCCTGCGAGAAAAACAAGAGCTCGCGAAACAAAGAAAGAACAACTCTCATACATATAAACATAGTGAGAATTATATAACACTATGAACGAAATTAAATCCACACCCATATTTTTAAGATAAGATAAGCAGATAAAAAATATTCTAATATCTTTTAATGCTCTGCAACATGTCCAAAGCCCACCGAAATCGGTGAGGAACAGTTCTGACGGTTCCCTTATAAGAACAATGAAAAACGAAGCTACTTTTGGCATGGTATTTGACAATTATTTTCTGCTGGAAATACACAAGTCCTTATCACCTCGACTAGGGTTAACATAAGAGGAGGCCTCTTATTGTGCGATGTTCGAAAGAGAGCCCGTAGAAGATTCTTCTTCCCGGCATGAGAAACCCTCACGCCGAGCGCGGGATGAAATCACACTGTGCGTATTGTTCCAAGACCTTCCTTTTGTTCTATCTCTCACGAACAGCGGAACACAGCCACTCAGCTTCTTGTTTCCCGCCCGGACGCCTTTCTTCTTTTCTTCCCTTCGTTACACGCAACCGCAAAGCGAAGTGGCGCATCGGGGAAATTCCGCGTTTCGAGCAGACCTTTTTTTAGCGTTAAGATTTCAAGAGAGAGAAAGAGAGAGAGAGAGGGGGGGGAAAGGGAGAAGCACTCTTTGAAAACGTTCAAACCGAGAGCTCTTTCGACTCGTGTAAGAAAGATAAGTGTGCGCATAACTTAGAATCGCGTTGTAATTCTATTACGGCGATTACTCTGAGCTTGTTATCAGTGGCAGGCCAGGATCGTTACAAATTATCGCGCTCCTTGTATCTCATTCCGTGAGGATCAAGAACAGCATCACATTCAGATCAGCACACACTCGCGATACCTGCGGTAATAAAACGAGCTCTCGTGAGACTCGCGAGTTTCTAGTGAACAAGAAGAGATTTTGTTTTCCCAAACGTGCCCGTACGAGTATAAATGTTGAATACAACTACACAGACAAAGAGTATTCACGTATTTCTCCCTTCCTGCCGTCATACCTTTCCTACCATCTCTACGGGGTTCTGGTTCCGTGCACCCTTTTAGAACGACGATCATTCCGCGGAAATATCACATGCGTTTTCGTTTTTCAATATTATCTTTGTAGCCAAGAAGATAAGCCAAGCGCACGCGAAGCTGCGCGAGTTAATAAGAGATTCCCAAAAGGACACGCTTGCAGCTTTATGTATACGTATAATAGGGAGTATGGGAACAAAGCTAGCGTTCAAAGATAATATAACTTTGGCTTGATACGACACGGATTCTATAATTTCCTCGATGTACGTCATGAAAGCACTCACTCATTCTTATTATACACTTAGTCAAAGAGCATCTATTACACCAACGGATTTCTAACGCAGCAGCGCGTCAGGTCCAATACGCAAGAGAGAAGAGAAAATGATTTAAACGGTCCCTGTCGCCGAACTGTAATAGGCATGGGCGCGCGAGTCGGTGCATTAATTCCGCAGTCGTCCGAGTAGTCCGGGAAGAGATACGTGACCGGAATGTCCAGCAAATAAAGTGCACTGCTCACCTGGATGACGGTAGCTAGGGGACTTTTGTTGGCTGGATAGTCGAGGCTGTCTCGATATGCCCAAGCGAGTGGCTCGTAGGTGCTGTGATTGGCCTGAAAAATAGTCCAGTCGCCGCCAGGAAGTGGTCCCCAGGCCGTTTCTCCTGATCTGGTTAATCGAAGAATGGGAGACGCCGCATTCAGCTGAGCATCCTGGAGGAAGAAAGAGCGACCTGATTCTATATGGCTCGCACAAAAGTTCCACTCCCGCTCGTCGTGCTAGATTTTCTCGCTTTTGGGAAAATCAAATTTTCGGAGGCATCACACGCGCTTTGGTGCTTTGTTAGAAGAGAATTGTTCAGTCCGCACGTTTTTATATTCAGAATACTGCGAGCAATAATATTTCTCTTAAAATATGCGAGATTGCGAAATATAATAATAATTACGTGAAAAATTATTTAAAAACTTCATAGGATATATTAATAGGCTGTAAAAAAAAGTTAAATCGAAAATCCACAGAAAATTATTTCAAATATTCCAAGTTTTAGATTGCATTTATTCCGCGCGCTCGGAATAATTCCGATTTTATGTAATTTATTATATATATCAGAAATAAAATTAGTTTAAATGTTTATTTAAATGTTCATTTAAATATGTCGAGAAATTGTTTTGTGGTAAAATGATAAAATCGCTTTGTAGTTATTTAAAGAGAAGTGACATATTTCCTGCTCGATGAATACGAATACTGAATATGAACAATTTTGTTCCTTTTTCTGAATAACATGATCGTTATTCACGAGATATGCCACGCGGTCGATGCTCTAAAGTTTTAAGAAGATTGTAACTTATTTCCCATTACGAATATTACGGCAATAAGATGCTGCGGATAGTTGATATCACGGAATTGGGTATCCAATAATTAACCATTAAAATGATTCAAGAATATATACTACAAATTAACATAAATATGCAATATTTTCGAAACATATAACATTATCAATTATTTTATTGTCACAGCCAGTACTATTGCGTAGGAATCACGGTTTTTATTGCTTTCTTTTACGAGGGTTTTGTTTCCTCGTTTTGATATCACTTTCTGCAAATCATTCAAATTTGATTGCAACCATAAAAATTATCTCACAGATTTTCTATCATCATGACTTTCTTAAATAATTCCTGATATCATTGATCATAAAATATCTTTTATCACGATATCAACAATATCTTTATGTTTCAATTATTACATTTTGTCCTTGATAATGTAATTAAGAAGTAAAATTGCGACAATTTATTCTTGTTCGAAAAAAATGTTGATGTATGTATGAGAATAGAGTTCGAATATCTAATATTGGGAGACTGACCTTCAATCTAAGATTAGTATGTATAAAAAGTGGAAAGCCCTTCAGCTGAGCACCAACGAGACTCTCTTCTCCTGGAGGAGCAAAACCCACGATGCCAACTGAATATTCCCTGCAATATTTGTCGAGTAGCTCACGATTCCATTTGTCCATCTGCAGGTACTTGTTTAGATTCTCGAAAATCAGCACCCCGTATCGACCCTTGTCGAGGTTCGTCAACACCGGTAAAGACTTACCGGCCACTTCCACTTTGTACCTGAAAGCATATCGGCAATATTTCATATTTAATAGTCTATAAAATTTGACATTGTTTGAAAATTAAGAGAAAATTTTTATATTGAAAAAGTAGTTTTTATTATTGAAAAAGTGAAACGTTTTTGTCGTTTTCATCAAAACTGAAATATATCAATTAATAACGGACGTATTCTATCGAAAAAAACATTTTATTACATTTCACTCGGACATTTTTAATGTTTTTATGAATGAAATTTTCAATAAAAGAGAGAAATCATAAGTTTTTAATGTCGTAGCTTTTAATGTGGAACAATTCACTTGTAATAAGATACAGGTACTATAAATATAATAGTTTTGTGGCGAGAATACTTTTTTCAAAAGTGCTATAATTTTTATGGATATATCGTAGTACACTCTACGTTTACTGTTTCTGGATGCCATTAAAACTGTAGCGATATATATTCCGCTAATCGCCTTCAGGGTCTCTGTGCTTAAGAATTGAACATAGAGGAATGTAGACTTTTGCAAACTCCGCTTCAGTGCGCATTATTCTTACGGGGTTTATACATATATAAGTTAAGCGGGAATAAAAAGTTTTGTTAACGTGTTCTTTAAAATGGAATAAATTCTCTCCATTCTTTCTCTCTTTCTTCCATCTTACCACCAGCTAATACTTCTGGGATCTTTCTCTCTCTCTTTTCCCGCCAACGCAAATATTTCACTGCAAATATTTAGACGTGAATGCCACTCGTGTAAGATACAACCGTCAACGTGTATTTTGACAATTTCAATCCGATGGCGTATCGGATGTTTAAAGTGCGAGCTTGTAGTAAATAGAAGTAAAATGGAATATCGATAAATAGAGTGTCCCGGTGGGGAGACCGCTGGTATTGTTAAACGATAAAACTGAGACACTTTATATCGAAATTCCATTTATGTAGTATCCAAAAAATGCTGCGCGAATAATAAAGCAATTACACGTAGCTGATACACATTCTCTTCTATATATCGAGACATTTGCGAGATTTATTGCATTTTTTAGAAGTTATATCCCGACACCATTGAAGCTGTCTTCCATCGAATTTGGGTCTTATTTGAATTTTGATATATATATTTCTAGTGTACCAATTGCAAAAAAAAAATCGACAAGCCATACTTCTGTCCTGTGCGCGATAAAATAATTTTATTGCGGAAATAAACTGCCGAGGCTTCTCTCGTCGATCGTACCGATGGATTTCTCTCATATCCTGTCGCGCGTCGTAAAGAGATGGCGCGAATATCAGATTTATTGGAGATGTATTCCGATAAAAAAATTTAACAAAAAAAAAAATAAAAAAAGGAAGAAGAATGTACCGCCTGCTCAATAGCAAGCTGTATGTTCGATTTTTTAGCAGAATTTTTTGGGAAAGCATATTGTGTATTGCTCGTAAAGCTGCAATGAAATAAATATTCAATGGCATACGTAAAGTTACGCTGTTTATTATTTGCAACGTCGAGATTAACGATAAAATTTTTTATTCTCGAACAAATCCGTCGTTCATTTCCTTTAATCGTTAATAACCATACGAACTAAAATGACTATACATTAAATCGTCTATAAATAATTTTCCGTCAAATCGTCTATAATAAAGTCCGATGGTAAATGATAAATATTTGAGATATTAGTAAGCACAATAAATATTGAATGCTGTTTCGACTGAAGCGGTAACTTCCATTGCAATGAATATTTGTCAAATAGTTCCAAACTACGACATAATACAATGTATCTATGTGAAATTTCGTCGAATGAAAGGAAAAAACACGAAAAGAAAAAAAGTTGTAGGGTTGCTTTCAACCACAGGGTGTAATATTGCTATTAAAAAATAGCAAACGGTATTCAGAGTAGCAAACAATTTTAGATTGGGCATGCAAACGTAGATATAACCGGAAAAGCCGCTATAGAGGCTTTATGCGGATCAATATCAACGATAGTTTGGATATCCTCCTATTTGTGTTTAACATTCAGAACCGATTCTAATCGCGTATATACATCAATGCGTTAGCATGCTAGAACGGCAGATTGCCGTTATCCGAATGCAAAATAGTCTTGATATCGTCGATCTATAAAATATCTTGTACATCGCATTTGTTAGTAAAATATTATAATTGCGATTTTTTGGCGAATTCTTCACTAATGATAATAAAAGTAACTTTATTGAAATACGAGAGATATTATACATAAATATAAATATATTGGAGAACAGAAACTCAAGAGACATCAATAATAATGCTGCTTTCACAAATCTAAAAAATTCTTGATATGATTAAAACTATATATAAAAACAAAAAAATAAAAATAACTAATAATAATATAATATATAGTAATGATAATCAATAAAGTGCATTACTGATAAATGTGCAGACTGTAGTTTTGCTCATGCCAATTGAGTGTACTATGTATAGTGTTCAATTATATCAATTTGAGTTATTTTTAATTACTTTTATATAGCTCGCCAAGTCTCTCACGACAGCTTCTACTCAATCATTAATTTAATTAAAATGGAGTTAAACAATTTAATTCAAGAAAATAAAATGGTTATTTTGAAATTGATCGAAATGGATTGATTTACATTTTGATATACATGGAAATTGTAAATAATAAAATGTTATTTAACTCAAAGGATTGAGATATCTCTGCTTCTTTGATATCTATGAATATATTTCGTTTCTTTTTGCTTTTTAATTTGGCTAATTTTGTACATTGCGATAAAGATTATTATCATCATAGTACAAATATTCAAATAAGAATTTCAACTATTGTTTATTTTTATTTTTAAGAATTCCAACACTATAGAAATGTGTTGAATAATTATGTATATTCATACATAAATATTAATACATATTTTAATTTATATACATCAAGTCTCTGATTTCGTAGGTAGTTACTTATTGATGTAGTTAGCGCTAGTTTAGCACTTACACTATTAATGCGTAATTTACTGGTTTCGCGCAACAATGAAGATAAATGACTTCAGCATGGTGGAACGACACGGCGAACCGACGTGTTCGAGCGAGTTAAGTTAAGAACCGCGAGTAATCCGCCCAATGTAATAGTTTTATAATTAGGTAAACGTTGTTATCAGACCGCACGCTTATAGCCGATTTTATTTTCGCGTTAACGGATAGCGTCGACGTGCCTCACGGCAACGGATAGCGCGAGTGCAGAAAATTTGAGTTAACTAATGAATGCCGGGTATAATTTAGCGACATAATCGATTCGATAATTGGTAACCGCCCATTAACGATGAGTTAACCAATTTACGAGGCTAACGAACTGTCATAACGAACCACCCTGCGATGCCCCTTTTGTTCTTGGCTAACAATCGAGAGTTCGCCGTCCAAGCGCATCCCACGCGTCACGCGAAGAATCCGAAAGCGAAATTCAGAAGTATTGATCCTCGCACACTGTCCCCAATCGCGAAACGATGAAAGGCGCGTACGTGCCGGGGATGATATCACGGACTTCGAAATTTGTACACCACGGCACCGGCAGTTTCGTTAATTATATTTCGAACTTCGTGTCCTTAAAAGTTCATCCCGCCCCTGCCCGATACAGAACTTTCCTGTCTCGCCTGGGAGAGAGAGACGTAGATTGAATTAAGTTTAATTAATACGGAATGGGAAGATAAAATTGACGCGGTGTCTTGATATTAGATATGTATATTGAATAAGACGCTATTGATCTGAGACGAGATAGCCGAGAGTTTCTATAGTTACTTGTTCCACTGTCTACGTTCTCCTTTGTTAACATCCACTGCTCTAAAATTAAATGGACTCTTTAGTCGGAATTAATGTTAATTATTTATATTAACGTTAATATTACATGGAAAGAATAATTTTGCTGAAGTCTAGAAATTTAGCTAGACACAAATTAGAAAATAATTTTATTTAAACTATAAAAATAATTATGTAGGATTTAAAACTAGTTGCTAAAATGTTCAAACTTTTTGTCACAAACGTTTAAACGTTTAAACGTTTCACGTAATTATTTTGAATCAACAAAGTTATTTTCAGATCTGTATCTAGCTTCTTGAGCAAAGCGGTATTTTAAGTTTATTGATCTTTTACAATTAATCGCTCTTATCAAGATTATACAAGATAATTTTCTTTCCTTGCTTTCGTTTTTCTTATTGACATTAATATAAATAAAAATACAATTAATAACATAATTTCCTTTGTTATTTAATATGTTATTTAATGTAATACAAGCACAAAGTACAGTACAGTTAATATTAAAGTAAAATAATTATCATTTTAATGACTTATCAAATCTTAATCAAAGACTGCATCTTTCTAAAGTTTTAAAGAAAGGCAGTAAATTGCTTCCGGTAGTAAATTGCAATATCGCTACTAAAGGAAATTAGCCGTATGAAAATGAGACTACCACCCAGCTAGTTTAATTAACCAGCTGTAATTTTATCTTAAGTTCAACTTATTAAAGCAAGGCGTATCAACGTCGAAACAGATTCTTCAGTATCGTTTAATCAAGTAAAATGTTGCTCAGTTTCCCAGCGAATAATGTAAAGAGCAAAAAGCGCTTCTCTCTTTAGATTTTCTTCTTGATTTTATATACTTATGACCGCGCACGCTCTTGATCATTTTCAGCGTATTAAAAAACATTTTATAAAGTTATTATGATAATACCTAACTCGTGGCGCTTCATTATCCGTGGGCGAGACTAGAAATTCACCGAGCAAATTTCACGTTAAAATGCAGATGTAATTCGCGGAAATTCGCGTGCAGGGTAGATATTACAAACGCAAAGTGCCGAGCGGTCCGAATTGTAACGACGTACAAGGGCCCAGATACGTTTTCATTAAGAAGAATAATTTAATTAAGCGGATTAAATGACAGGATTGGATAACAGCGTACGCGAATCTAGTACAAGTGTGCAATCGCAGATCGTTTATGGCAGTTATCGTAAGTTATCCTTTCAAAGCCGAGATGCAAAAAACGATAGGTAACTTTATAGGATATGTATGT